TCGGGCACATTATGATTTTTGTCTATTTCTTTTCTTTGTTTTCTTACAGACTTTAGTTGAAGGATCTTTTGTTAATATATTTTGGGAGTTGAATAATTCTTTTGGCCAGTTAATTATGTTAATTTGTGGTGCTGTTGTCCGCCTATAAATAGGCTGGCTTTCAGCATGTTGGGGCGTTCCTTTCCAACTTCGCTTGGACGCCGCTTTTCCACCTGCTTCCACTTGTTCCACCGTGCGCAGGTGCGCACTTGTCTTGTCGCTGCGGCCTGCAGCGGACGTTCCAGCCTGCCATGCGGTATTTTTGTTAGCCGTTGCTTACTTTTTTCTTGTGGTTTTTGGCCTGGCGGGACCGGTTGTCCTATTTTCGATTTTTTCTTTTGCTTAGGTTATTTTTTGACCTTTAGTCCGGTACCAGTAGGGGCTTCGACGGCCCTGTATAGGGTTGGCCCCCTGCTGTACCGTTTTGTTCTGTTTGATCGGCCTGCCAGGTCCAACTTTCTTTTGTTACTTTTGGGTTTCTTTTTTGATTTCTTTGGGGCACGGGATCTGAGGGCCTCTAACTTTTTTCTTCGCAGTAATCAGAAGAAGCCGAGCAAAGAAAGCTAAAGAGGAGAAAATTTATAAATAAAATATCTTTTTTTGAACCCTCATCTTTTGTCTCGTGTCCGTAAATATGTTGTGCCCTTGGTGGACGTAACATCCAGTAATCCAACTCTGTCTTGTGGTCTCATTATGTTAAATATACACGAATTAATAACAAATAGCAGAGAAATAAAGTGTAAAGCAGAAAAACAAAATATAATAAGTTAACAGGATGCTGTGATTTAATCCAAAGACCTTTGTATGCAACCAGAGTGAGCTACTGGGGTAGAAATTTATATTGTGTGACTGCCCTTTCAAAACCCTTTTAAAAAGGAGTAGTTTAAATATGTTTAACCCGATGCAATGAAAAACCTGAAAATGTTTTTATTGGATTTCTCTGCAGCCGAAAACCCGGATCAAACTGAATAATTTAACTTGTATATTAAATATGGTTTCGGCAAAAGAAAAAGTGATTATTTTACATCAGTAAAGCAATCTCTGTGTTCGTTTTCTGCTCTGTAAGCTTTAGTTGCAGTCTGGAAACCTCTGACATCATGGTTCTGTTCGCAGGTCCAAACTGGAAATGAACTATTTTACGTAAACCTGGAAAAGATGCATCAGCCAGTCAGAGGAAGTAGCTTCAGTCACTTTGACTGACCTCGGATTCTGACACCATGGCAGTTTTGTTTCTGTTTCCAGCATTTCATCTCCTCCTCTCCTTCTCCTGTTGTTTGTTTTTCTGTGGTTGTTTGCTTGTGTTATAGATCAAATTTGATGGTTTACAGCAGCTGGAGAAGGTCTGCTGCTTTATTGCAGAGATGGATGTTCAGTGAACATTTGTATGCTCCTTCTCAGAACCCAGGATCCCAAGCCTGAAACCACTCCACTGAAACTTCTTCATTCTGGACTCCTGCCAGAGACATCTCCAGTCAGCCTCCAGGAACCCATGAGGCAACGAGACTCTAAACTGCTTAAAGCCCTCCTGCCTGAGCTCACCTGCCTGTCCACCCTCTGACACCACCACCGGATCTCACCAACCGGACCTGCACCATCAGCCCGGATCACTGGTCACCATCCCCCCCAAAGTGATGCCAAGCCTCCCTGTCTGTGAGTTACAAACGCCCCTCATCTTTCAAACCAGCACCAACCAGTTGCTCACCTGTCACCTAACCTCTTCCAGCATAACCCAGAAAACCCTGCCAGCCGGACTCCTCTCTGTACAGACCTCTACCTTCAATAAAAACCCTTAAACTGATCTTTGCCTCTGTGATTGCTCTCATGCAGAGTCTGTCAACCTAAGAATGACACATATATATTGTTGCAGTCATGAAAACGTAATGTTTATGTATGTTGCTGTAAATGTGCCTATGTGGTTAAAGAAACAGTAAAGTCATACCACTAAGTCTTGTTGTTGTGTTTACTTTAACAATGTTACTATAAGTTCCTAAAACAACAGCATATTGTCATTATTACATTATGAAGTAGATCACTGAAATGGCTGAGCTCCAGAATACATGATTTAATGTTTAGTGTTTTCTTTTTGCTCCTACTATACCACTGCAATGTATTTTTCCCCGTGTTTTCCTGTTATGTTCTGTCTATGTAGAGCACTTTGAATTGTCTTGTTACTGAAATGTTTCATACAAATAAACTTGCCTTGCTTTTTTACAATGCTTTACAACAATATCCTGATTATATGTAGAACAAAATATTTGGAAATTAGAATCACAATCAGAATTATTGCCAAGTAGGTTTGCACTTACAAGGAGTTTGACTTGGTGTTTAAGGATATATATATATATATATATATATATATATATATATATATATATATATATATATATATATATATATATATATATATATATATATATATATATATACAGGTGCTGGTCATAAAATTAGAATATCATGAAAAAGTAGATTGATTTCAGTAATTCCATTTAAAAAGTGAAACTTGTATATTATATTCATACATTACATACAAACTCATATATTTCAGATGTTTATTTTGTTTAATTTTGATGATTACAAATGACAACAAATGAAAATCTCAAATTCATCATATCAGAAAATTAGAATATTGTGAAAAGGTTCAAAATTGATGGCCCCTGGTGCCACACTCTAATCAGCTAATTAACTCAAACCACCTGCAAAAGCCTTTAAATGGTCTTTCAGTCTAGTTCTATAGGCTACACAATCATGGGGAAGACTGCTGACTTGACAGTTGTCCAAAAGACGACCATCGACACCTTGCACAAGGAGGGCAAGACACAAAAGGTCATCGCTAAAGAGGCTGGCTGTTCACAGAGCTCAGTGTCCAAGCACATTAATAGAGAGGCGAAGGGAAGGAAAAGATGTGGTCGAAAAAAGTGTACAAGCAAGAGAGATAACCGCACCCTGGAGAGGATTGTGAAACAAAACCCATTCAAAAATGTGGGGGAGATTCACAAAGAGTGGACTGCAGCTGGAGTGAGTGCTTCAAGAACCACCACACACAGACGTATGAAAGACATGGGTTTCTGCTGTCGCATTCCTTGTGTCAAGCCACTCTTGAACCACAGACAGCGTCAGAAGCGTCTAAAGAGAAACAGGACTGGACTGCTGGTGAGTGGTCCAAAGTCATGTTCTCTGATGAAAGTAAATTTTGCATTTCCTTTGGAAATCAAGGTCCCAGAGTCTGGAGGAAAAGAAGAGAGGCACTTCATCCACGTTGCTTGAAGTCCAGTGTAAAGTTTCCACAGTCAGTGATGGTTTGGGGTGCCATGTCATCTGCTGGTGTTGGTCCATTGTGTTTTCTGAGGTCCAGGGTCAACGCAGCCACATACCAGGAAGTTTTAGAGCACTTCATGCTTCCTGCAGCTGACCAACTTTTTGGAGATGCAGATTTCATTTTCCAACAGGACTTGGCACCTGCACACAGTGCCAAAGCTACCAGTACCTGGTTGAAGGACCATGGTATCCCTGTTCTTAATTGGCCAGCAAACTCTCCTGACCTTAACCCCATAGAAAATCTATGGGGTATTGTGAAGAAGAAGATGCAATACACCAGACCCAACAATTCAGAAGAGCTAAAAGCCACTATTAGAGCAACCTGGGCTATCATAACACCTGAGCAGTGCCACAGACTGATCGACTCCATGCCACGCCGCATTGCTGCAGTAATACAGGCCAAAGGAGGCCCAACTAAATACTGAGTGCTGTACATGCTCATACTTTTCATGTTCATACTTTTCAGTTGGCCAACATTTCTATAAATCCTTTGTTTTTATTGGTCTTCAGTAATATTCTAATTTTCTGATATGATGAATTTGAGATTTTCATTTGTTGTCATTTGTAATCATCAAAATTAAACAAAATAAACATCTGAAATATATGAGTTTGTATGTAATGTATGAATATAATATACAAGTTTCACTTTTTAAATGGAATTACTGAAATCAATCTACTTTTTCATGATATTCTAATTTTATGACCAGCACCTGTATATATATATATATATATATATAAAACTCAGTGTCAAGAGACAAGAACTTTTGAGCAGGGTGTCATGATGGGATTTAGGTTTCTAACCCACATGCAGAACACACACGGACTCAGAAGAAAAGTTCAACTGTTTATTGAAAAAACACAGAGTTAATAAAGTTGATGCTGGTGGTCGGCAGAGGGCTAGGCAGCGGCAGGGCTTGACTTCAGACTTGACAGTGTTCAGGTTTGAGTTTCTTCCATTTCTCTTCTTGAGAGCGGGCAGGCAGGTTCTGACAGTTTGATCTTCCAGTGAGCTCTTGAGGTCAGACAGGCTGGTTTCAGCTGAGATACTCTTCCAGAGTTCCAGGGTTCAGTCAGGTTCTTCCTAGGAAGCAGAGAGGACAAAAACTGGTTAGGTTCAGGTTTTCAGGGGAGTCAGAGAATCGGACAGGTTGGTTGGCTAAGGCTTGCTAACCGTAACTGCCTTAACACTCTGGCACTGGAGTGTTGCTCTGCCGCTGCTTAAATACTGGTCTCTTGATGAGCAAACGAGCTGCAGGTGTGGTATTCAGCTCCAGGAGACCTAGGGAGCCCTCTGCTGGAGAAAGGTGGACAGACCTCCAGATCCCAACACGGAAATTTCTAAAAAACTGCATTTACACTCAAACATTATTTTTTCAGCTGTTTAAGACCAGTCTTTAAAAGCCAAAAGCTGTGCACAAATCTGGATTCCATGTAATTTTTTTGTCAAATCTGTCAAGACCTCCTGATGGCAAAAGCAAAAAAGCTCACTGACTTTGAAAATGGTAGGATTGTTGAGCTGCATAAGCAAGGCCTCTCACAACGTGCGATCGCTGCTGAGGTTGGACGCAGTAAGACAGTCATTTTGGATTTTTTAAATGATCCGGAGGGTTATGGAACAAAAGTCAAGTGGTATACCCAAAAAAATGTCACCAGCTGTGAGCCGCAGGATCCGATTGGCTGAACGTCAAGACACAGGACGATCCTCTACCCAAATTAAGGCCATTACTGGTGCTGACTGCAGCCCAATAACCATCAGACGGCATCTGCGAGAGAAGGGCTTCAGAAACAAAAATCGTCTTCAAAGGCCACGTCTTCTTCAATGCCACAAAATTGCCTGTTTGTGTCATGGTTGGTTTAGGGATTAAACCCACATCCAGAACACCACTGGAGACTGATAAAAAGTTCAACAGAGTTTATTGAAAGTTTTCACAATAATAACATGGACTGGATTCAGGAAACTGGTCCGGGCATGATTCTCTGGCGTCTGCAGAGACGGATAGTTTGATTAGCCAGTTAAACAGGTGAGTTGTTGAGTTTCAGATGTTTCTGGAAATACCTTGAAGAGGTTCAGGCTATCTCCTTTGAAAGAGGGAACCGGTTGGGTCCAGAGACAGTTGGTTCAGCAGAGTGCTCAGCAGCAGCAGCGTCTAGCTTCTGACTTTCCAGTGACAGACCTTGGTTTGACTGATCAGCTCTTTCCCTGAGAGCAGCGGGTGGATTCCAGAGTGAGATCTTCAGGTTTGGCTGTCTAGGGCAGGCAGGCAGGTAACAGGCTAAGCTCATCCAGAGCTTCAGACAAGAGACAGGTTTCCTGTGAGTGAGAAGACAGAGGCAGGTTAGAATTGGGTTTCTCTTAGGAGACAAAGATTCTAGTAATCACAGAGGCTCAGATTTGCTAACCAAACTTGGTCAACACTGCGGCGTTGAAAGAAGGTCTGGCAGCTGCTTAAGTAGAGCAGGTCTCCTGATGGGCTGACGAGATCCAGGTGTGCAGGAGGACTCCAGCCCAGGAGACCCACAGCGCACTCTGCTGGAGAAAGGTGGTACTTCTCCAGATCCCAACAGCCAGAAAGGGAAAACAATCTTTCTGATGGTACTGATGTTGCAGGCGTTGCCAAGTACCTCTGTGCAAGAGAGGCCAACTCACTGTGGGATGCTGCATGTGTGGACCACCACTCTTGTGGACAATCATCTATGCTTATCATGGGCTCTGCCTTGTAGCGATCAATGCACCGCTCCACATTGTCTTCCTCTTCATCCGATGAAGACTCCTCTGCCAGCATGAGAGCTGGTTTCTTCTTTGCTGGCTCGGGTGTACTATGGTCATCCAGCTCTGCATGCGTCCTGCTCTCCATCTCCCTGAGCAAGGTGCAGATGGAATCCCACACGTGAACCCGGTCAGGTTTGCTGAGACACTTTAGGTCTTTAAACCTTGAATGAATTGATGTAAAACGTGAACTTCAATGCAATACAAATAACCTCACAAAACAAAAGGGAACAAAATACTGAGAGTTGGAACATGGCAATCTAACCTCGGATCAAGTGCTGTTGCTATGCGCAGCCATGTGGTGTTGAACTTGTCCTTGCGGTCATCCATGTCAGCTTTGAAGGTTGCCTTGAACTTGAACATATATACTGGGTCATCTTCGGTGGCGTCCATCACTCTGGAGAGGTGACATAATGCTGGCAGGACCACAGAGCAAGACGTATACATCTCTCCTCCCAGAAGATCAGAAACATACCTGCATCAACATACAAAAGCTATTTAATGTTGTGATTTACACCTGACTCTCTCACTCTCACACACACACACAAACACACACACACACCCACACACAGATTTGAGAGAGTAAGATAAGTTACACACGACATACAGGGAGGGGGAGCAAGTAGCTTGCTTACCTGCAATGCTCCAACGCAGTTTCCAGTTTCTTTGTTTTTTCCAGTTCAGCAGCAGTTGGCATGGCTATTTTCGTGGGGTGTAGTGCCAGTGCATCCCGCAGTGGTTCGACATTCCGGTTGACTCTCTTTACCATCTCCAGAGTGCTGTTCCACCGGGTTAGCACTTCCTGCGTTAGGGCTTCTTGTTTTTGATTGTGAGCAGCCTGTTGCTGTTGAAGCTCGGAGGCATTTGCCGGGCTATGTTTGAAGTGGCCGACAAATTTTCGGCATTTCGCCAGTGCCAAGTCAAAAGGGCTGTTTTGAAGTGACACGGTGACAGCCCGGTGCACGCTATGTGCCATGCAGGGTATGTGTTCAAAAGGCAGTAGTCTGGCAGCCGCTACCATATTACGCGCACTATCCGTAGTCAGGGACGCAACTTTTTCTTCGATTCCCCACTCTCTGGCTACTGCCATAAGGTGTTCCACAACATCCGCGAAGTACCTTGTTAGAGTGATAACTATCCTGTGTTTCAACCAGAAGGGTCATAAACTTTTATGACCTCCAGTCAGAATCACACGGCTGTGTGACTTCCATCCAGCCAGTTGGTCAATTCACACTATCTTGTTACCTGCATCCTCCCAGACAATGATTACTGGCTCTTCTGTTTTAGGCCCGCCTGTTTGATGTTGTAAACTGTTAATAAAAGGCTTTGCCATGAAGGGATCTGTGTGAGAAGGTGATGGCTTTCCAAGCCAGCCTCTTCTCTCCACCCGGCACACGCTGACGTCACAAAACCCTGTCTCTGTGTTGATCATTTTCCTTTTAATCTTTTAAACTCACATTTCTCTGGATTAAAACCCAACATTTTTGGTGCTGAAACTCCGGGAGTCAAGATCCAATTGTCCAGGACCGTGCGGGACCAAGGCCAAGAAACTGACGACAGCCGTCCACCCTTTGCCGGACAGAGCCAATAGGTTGGTCCAGCCCTGCCCTGGACATCCTGGTGACGACTCAAGCTGAGGACTGATCTGCACAGAAACGGTACGCCTAAAGTTTTTTATCAACAGTTGGTCTGGGACCACATGAAAGCTATAACTAGTTGTAGTCGCTAGAATATTTGACAAACAGGGTTTGTTGTGATAGATCTGGGATCGGTATTCTGTGCGTTTGGGTCTGGGACCCTCTGTGTGAAAGCTATAACTAGTTGTAGTCGCTAGAATATTTGACAAACAGGGTTTGTTGTGATAGATCTGGGATCGGTATTCTGTGCGTTTGGGTCTGGGATCCTCTGTGTGAAAGCTATAACTAGTTGTAGTCGCTAGAATATTTGACAAACAGGGTTTGTTGTGATAGATCTGGGATCGGTATTCTGTGCGTTTGGGTCTGGGACCCTCTGTGTGAAAGCTATAACTAGTTGTAGTCGCTAGAATATTTGACAAACAGGGTTTGTTGTGATAGATCTGGGATCGGTATTCTGTGCGTTTGGGTCTGGGACCCTCTGTGTGAAAGCTATAACTAGTTGTAGTCGCTAGAATATTTGACAAACAGGGTTTGTTGTGATAGATCTGGGATCGGTATTCTGTGCGTTTGGGTCTGGGACCCACTGTGTGAAAGCTATAACTAGTTGTAGTCGCTAGAATATTTGACAAACAGGGTTTGTTGTGATAGATCTGGGATCGGTATTCTGTGCGTTTGGGTCTGGGACCCTCTGTGTTCCTTTAAGATAAGAACACAGCTAAGTAAGGTTTGCAGCTGTCGCAGCAGTGCGAAGGCCTGGAGTTGGAGACTCCAAAGTGTACACGTGTTCAAGCTATAACTGGTTGTAGTCGCAAGAATATTTGACAAACAGGGTTTTGTTGTGATAGATCTGGGATCGGTATTCTGTGCGTATGGGTCTGGGACCCTCTGTGTTCTTTTAAGATAAGAACACAGCTAAGTAAGGTTTCCAGCTGCCGCAGCAGGGATAGCAGATACGGCATCTGGGTATCCGGTGCGTGCGAGGGCCTGGAGTTGGACACTCCAAAGTGTACACGATAAAAGTTTTTTTTTTTTTGTTTGTTTTTTTGTCTATGTTGGTTAAAAAATAAAAAATATTAGGACTTAGAATAGGTGTGTGTGACTGTGTGAAAGTGTGTGAGGAAACAATCAAACCGCTGTGTTCTGTTGTTTCATACTAAAACAGCAGGAATTAATACAGTATAACTCTTGTGGATGCAGAGGCAAGAATTTCTCACCTGAAAAGGTAGAAGCAGAAATTACCACAACAGTGTTTGGGTGCTGTCCTGCTGAAATAAACATCCAGTGCGTAGAATACCCTAGGTGTTTGTACTGGACTAAATTTTTTAAAAATGGGACAAGGTAGTAGTAAGAAGGAAATGCCAGGTGATGTTAGATGGATGGTGGCGTGTTGTGGTGGTGACCCAGAGTTTGCCAGAAAGTGGATTGAGAAGGAGGACTGGGATGGAAAGTTGAGAGTTGAGCCGCTGACAAAGATTCAGCAGAAGGTGGAGATGAAGTTGGTGTATAAATCAAAAAGAAAACAAGCTAAATACAGAAAAGAATTAGAAGAGTTAAATAAGTGGATTATGCAAGCAAAAAATAGGGAAAGCCAAATACAACAGAAGAAGGATAGAAAGACAGCTACAATTGCTGCTGTAAAAGTTATAGCTGATGAAGAAACTGTTGTATCCCGTATGCTTCCTCAATATCCTGACCCTAATCAAATTCAAGGGGGTGATGGGGTTCAAGCAGTGGCATCAGCTGCGCAGGAAGGTGGAGATAAACCCCATCATGGTGAATATGAACACAGCCATGCCACTGTTCCTCCTCCAGTAGCCCCACCATCGTGTGGTGATATTGGAGGAGCAGGAGCAGGCCCCCTGTCCGTGTCGTCCTCTGTTGATGGTATGGAACTCAGTGCCGCTGACCCTTGTGAGCATGAATTAAGAAAATCAGGGGGGGATGTGAAGCTTGATTCGAAGTGTTACAGGGATGATTATCAAGTGGAGGCTTGTGGAAGGGGCCCATCTGCCCCTATTTATCCAAGATTGGCTGAACAAAAACAAGAACAGGACCAAGATCCTGGGGTGGGGGGGGGGGGGGGGGGGGGGGGGGGGGGGGGGGGGGGGGGGGGGGGCATGTGCTTTTCCGGTGTTGGAGGTGGCCAACCCTCATTGTGGTCAACGCACGGGACCCCAAGATGGTGACCCACTGGATTGTGGACCCACTATTCTTGTGTGTGGGCCATGGACAGATGCAGAGATGCGGACTTCCTGTCGAGGTTTACCTTCAGCCAGACAGAACCCGGTAAATGGTCCGAGGATGTTAAAAATAGATTGAGAAAATTCATGGCAGAAACAGGAAAGCCATGGGCAGAAAAAGAACAAGATGACATTGACCCGCTAACTAAGTGGATGCTGAAGCTTTTCAGCGACAAAACTGTTCGGAAAACATGTAATCTGCCTAGTGCTCCTTTTGTTTCCCCACAGGAAGGCCTGAAGCCTGGAGACCGAGTGCTGATTAAAATCATCAAAAGGAAAACTTGGAAAGCTCCGAGGTGGGAAGGACCCTACATAGAGCAACTAACAACCCCCACCACTGTGAAGATCCAGGAGAGAAACACTTGGATCCACCAGAGTCATTGTAAACTGATTAAAAAATTTCCTCAGCAAAAAAGCCCAGTTACTTTCACAGGGACCCCACGACTAAGGTATAGATCTGTGGTGAAGTCCAGCTTCAAAGGGGTTTGGTTTTTTTAGGACCAATCGTCTCAACGCTGGTGAAGTTACCAACCTAACCCAGTCTTTTAGAGTCCGGTTAGTGGGTGTTTCCTTGGACGGACTGGCAAAGATCTGAAAAACCAAAGTGGTTATGCTGCCCGGTGATGACTGTTGGACCGGTGTTCCTAGGAACTCAAACTGACTGTCTGAAACAAAGGAAGAGCAGGATGATTTTTGATGGATCCACAGAAAATCATCCATACGGTGCCAATATGTGGTGGCAACATGCAAAACATGTTGCTGAAGATTTGAACAAAACAGACTGTTATGTTTATACTCATATTCCTACTTCTATGAATACAATATGAATTGAAAGATGCTGATGTTTTTATGTATAAGAGGAGGGAAATGTTAGAGTGATAACTATCCTGTGTTTCAACCAGAAGGGTCATAAACTTTTATGACCTCCAGTCAGAATCACACGGCTGTGTGACTTCCATCCAGCCAGTTGGTCAATTCACACTATCTTGTTACCTGCATCCTCCCAGACAATGATTACTGGCTCTTCTGTTTTAGGCCCGCCTGTTTGATGTTGTAAACTGTTAATAAAAGGCTTTGCCATGAAGGGATCTGTGTGAGAAGGTGATGGCTTTCCAAGCCAGCCTCTTCTCTCCACCCGGCACATGCTGACGTCACAAAACCCTGTCTCTGTGTTGATCATTTTCCTTTTAATCTTTTAAACTCACATTTCTCTGGATTAAAACCCAACATGCCTCTCATCGGTCTTCATCACAGTCAGAGCGTGGGACCGAAGCTCCCACTGAGGGGTGAAGTAATGGGCGGTGACACCCAGGTAATTGTCATTACTGATAGATGTCCAGTAGTCCCCTGTCAGCGAGACTGTTTCCGTTTCGTCTAGTGCATCCTTTACCTCTGCCCTTTCAGCTTCGTATAACTTAACAATACAGGCCGTTACGGTTGCTCGGGAAGGAGCTTCGTAGGTGTTGTCTTTGGAGGCGATACGAATAATCTCTGTTAGTCCCTCGTCCTCAACGATACTAATTGGCCTACACGAAGTTGCCACCCACTTAGCAATAGCTGCAGTCAGTTGTTTTTTTTTGTGGCGTCGTCCATTTGCCTGGATCTAAATGCATCCAGTGTTCGTTGTTGTTGAGGAGGCTGGAGTGAATCTCCCGCTGGATTTTTAGCCATTAGGTGATACGTAAAACTTGAGGTGCTACGATGATAACTTAATTCACACTGGCAATAGCTACAGATGACTTTTGTCTTATCAACAGATCCATTATTTGAAACTTTAAAATTAAATTTACCATTCAAGAGTGCCGTAGCAGATTCCATTTCACCTCAGTAATCTGTTTTCTCAGCGTATTTCAGGTTGCTACTAGGCACCAGACACTGAACTTGTTTGTTGGTGGTGGGGCTTAAATAAAAGGCACTAGCGCCACCCAGTGTATGGGCGACTTTTTCCCTTGAGGAGCTCCGCTCTCGAAGCCTATGGAAAATGCATAGACTGGAGGAAAATTGTACAATAAAACCACATAGCGTTAATCTCACGTTAAAAAAATTATCGCCATTAAAACGGCCTTGTGTTAACGCGATAATAACGCGATAATTTTGACAGCACTAATATATATATATATATATATATATATATATATATATATATATATATATATATATATATATATATATATATATATATATATATATATATATATATATAATTTTTTTTTTTTTTTTTTTTTTTTTTTAGATTTTAATACAGGTGTTTGAATTTGTTTTGCACCATTTGTTTTAGATCAACTGTAGCAAAACTGAATGGAAGACATTTTTGATGTGCAACTCACAGAACACAATTTGTGTACATGTACTCAAGAATCTGAAGAGGTGTAACTTATTTTGTAATTGTGACAGATTAAAAAAATCTAAACAAATAGTTTTGCAACAAGCAAAACTGAGAATGTAAGAGGTTTTTGATGTGCAACTTGTAGAACAGAATTTGTGTACTTGTACTTAAAATTTTGAACAGATGTAAATTCTATACATACAAAACTTAGGATGTAACTCTTTACAACTTCAAATTCACACTTATAATGTACAAATAGCTTTGAAACAAAATAACCTTCATACACTTCTCCTTTGCACTTCTCAATCTCATCTCACAGGTGTTCCACTTCAAGATGCTGATTAGACACCATGATTAGTGAAGGTACAGTTGTGTTTTATTCGGGGGAGGGGGGTGTATATAAGTACCTATGCGTCCTGGCTGATGTTTTGTGTCACTTTTGAATGTTGGTGGTCCTTTTACACATTAAAACGGACTCTACAACCCACAGAAGTGGCTTAAGTAGTGCAGCTCATCCAGAATGGCACATCAATGTTACCTGTGACAAGAAGGTTTGCTGTGTCTGTCTGCTTATTGTCCAGAGGCATTACAAGGCAATTATGTAGGTTCTCTCTGTGTTATTTCTATATCAAAACCCTTTGAATTTGTATACAGGTGCTGGTCATAAAATTAGAATATCATGAAAAAGTAGATTGATTTCAGTAATTCCATTTAAAAAGTGAAACTTGTATATTATATTCATACATTACATACAAACTCATATATTTCAGATGTTTATTTTGTTTAATTTTGATGATTACAAATGACAACAAATGAAAATCTCAAATTCATCATATCAGAAAATTAGAATATTACTGAAGACCAATAAAAACAAAGGATTTATAGAAATGTTGGCCAACTGAAAAGTATGAACATGAAAAGTATGAGCATGTACAGCACTCAGTATTTAGTTGGGCCTCCTTTGGCCTGTATTACTGCAGCAATGCGGCGTGGCATGGAGTCGATCAGTCTGTGGCACTGCTCAGGTGTTATGATAGCCCAGGTTGCTCTAATAGTGGCTTTTAGCTCTTCTGAATTATTGGGTCTGGTGTATTGCATCTTCTTCTTCACAATACCCCATAGATTTTCTATGGGGTTAAGGTCAGGAGAGTTTGCTGGCCAATTAAGAACAGGGATACCATGGTCCTTCAACCAGGTACTGGTAGCTTTGGCACTGTGTGCAGGTGCCAAGTCCTGTTGGAAAATGAAATCTGCATCTCCAAAAAGTTGGTCAGCTGCAGGAAGCATGAAGTGCTCTAAAACTTCCTGGTATGTGGCTGCGTTGACCCTGGACCTCAGAAAACACAATGGACCAACACCAGCAGATGACATGGCACCCCAAACCATCACTGACTGTGGAAACTTTACACTGGACTTCAAGCAACGTGGATGAAGTGCCTCTCTTCTTTTCCTCCAGACTCTGGGACCTTGATTTCCAAAGGAAATGCAAAATTTACTTTCATCAGAGAACATGACTTTGGACCACTCACCAGCAGTCCAGTCCTGTTTCTCTTTAGCCCAGGCAAGACGCTTCTGACGCTGTCTGTGGTTCAAGAGTGGCTTGACACAAGGAATGCGACAGCAGAAACCCATGTCTTTCATACGTCTGTGTGTGGTGGTTCTTGAAGCACTCACTCCAGCTGCAGTCCACTCTTTGTGAATCTCCCCCACATTTTTGAAGGGGTTTTGTTTCACAATCCTCTCCAGGGTGCGGTTATCTCTCTTGCTTGTACACTTTTTTCGACCACATCTTTTCCTTCCCTTCGCCTCTCTATTAATGTGCTTGGACACTGAGCTCTGTGAACAGCCAGCCTCTTTAGCGATGACCTTTTGTGTCTTGCCCTCCTTGTGCAAGGTGTCGATGGTCGTCTTTTGGACAACTGTCAAGTCAGCAGTCTTCCCCATGATTGTGTAGCCTATAGAACTAGACTGAAAGACCATTTAAAGGCTTTTGCAGGTGGTTTGAGTTAATTAGCTGATTAGAGTGTGGCACCAGGGGCCATCAATTTTGAACCTTTTCACAATATTCTAATTTTCTGATATGATGAATTTGAGATTTTCATTTGTTGTCATTTGTAATCATCAAAATTAAACAAAATAAACATCTGAAATATATGAGTTTGTATGTAATGTATGAATATAATATACAAGTTTCACTTTTTAAATGGAATTACTGAAATCAATCTACTTTTTCATGATATTCTAATTTTATGACCAGCACCTGTATACTTTGACCCCAGAACAGCAGTAACCAAGGGGCAAATTGAAATATATAAGTAGAAAAAAGAATGTTTTTTCTCTCTGCTTTTTTTGAGTAGTGTAGTTTTTATTGATCTGTGTGTAATGCATAATTCATAGTAGATCAGGAAGTGTTTTACTATGGGATGAAACCTTGTAAGTCTAAAACTATTCCTTTATTGTACATTTTGTTAGCTTTTCTGTCTGCTATATTAATCAATATGATGTGTTGAACTAGATCTGCTATTTTCCCAGCTTTTGGTAGACACTTTTTTATAAAGTAGGGCATTAATTCATAACAAAGTTTATTTGAATTCTACAAATAAAATTTTCTGTCCAACAGCAATGATGAACTGCACAGCAGCATTCTATACCCAGCTATTGTAGTATTTAGGCTAGAGCTGTCAGTCTAGTAAAGAATCTGGTTGTTATTCCAATTTGTAAAGGTTAACTTTATTTTTGCAACATAAAACTGACTAAAACTAGACTAAAACCAGTTAAAACTATCAGATATCATAATGACGAAAATGCGACTAAGAATAATAATAGTTTTCGTCTGGAAGACTAAGACTAAATCTAATATGGGTGTCAGAAAGAACACTGGTTGTGACACGGAGTCTGGAGGCATTATTGAGAGCGATCTGCTGCTTGCAACACCCTTCAGCATAACCGGTTTGGCAGAGTCTCAGTAATGGTGTGAGGTGGAATTTCTTTGGAGGGGCACACAGTCCTCTCAGTCCATAAACACTAACCCTCTGTTGGTGTGTGACATTAAGGGCCATCCCAAACCACATAGTGGGTAAGGCGAGAGGACCATACAGACCTTAAATAACAAGTCTGCATCAGTGCAGGCTCGCTGGAATTTGGCAGCAGATGTAACAGTGAACAAGTGGCAGAGAAAACACATGCATTCAAATGGA